GGGGGTGGGGGGGTTCCCCTTTATACAATTTTGGTATATTTAGCTGTGCACACATGATCACCTATTAGCCCGAGTCTGCTGAGCCGAGCTCCCCGACACCTTTCTGGGGGATACTGGGGGTTGAAGTGCTATGTATTACATCAAAGAATATCAGTTTACACAGCAAAATACAGCAAGGTGAGCCAGCCAGGGGAGAGAGGTTTTTTTTGTTGGTAGATCTCATGTAGCTCGTTATTTGAACAGTAGATCATAACACAAAAATTGTGGGAACCCCTGTTCTAGATTGTATGCTGTGGCGCCATCCATTAGTTCCAGCACCAGTTGGATTCCGGGGTACATTGGTAGTGTGCAAAGGGGATATTGCAGTCGTGTCACTGACCATCTCCTATAGCGCATCCCCAGTCTCCACCACCACCCATTGCATCCTGGCACTCTGTCCCTGCTCCAGTAACATGCCTGCAGTGGTATTTGTTAGACTATATGCGCTGTCCTTTGGCGATATGGGGGCTTTAAGTGCAGCCTGCATTATCAAGAGTTGACCACTGAGGTTTGCCATTTTTTGCTGCTCATCTGACCCAAGGCCCTGGACAGTCCGTCGAGACGTTAACAAATTACTGTAGATAAAGATTTTGGAACCCTTGTGTAATGAGTACAGTTGCAATGAAGAGAAAGAACCCCCCCCTTCCACATTATACTAGGTGCTGCATATGGCCTAACTCCAAATCTTACCACATCAAAAGGACCCACCTTTTACCCAGGGTAACACCGGCCAGCTTGATGAGGTCCCTCATGCAGGGCGTTATGATGATTGGCTGCTCATCGCTGTCTGCAGCGTCGTCATAACTCTCCACTTGCTCCACAATGAACTGCGCATGTCTCAGAAGGGAGTCTTCCGTGAAGCGGTTGAAGTTCAGACCGGCAGGTGGTACGGTTGTCTGAAACAAAAGATAAAGTGGTTTAGATCAGTCTGTAGAAACTAAAAAAAACCCCATTTTAGAGCATTGGACTCACCTCGATCCTGTTCAGCAGATCCTCATAGGTTGCATCCTGGTTGTGCTGAAGAAACTCCACCACAATCTTACTCATATAGATCTTCTCCTGCATCAGGGCAAAGGGTGGACTGTACTCTTCACTGGGATCCATCAGGAAGTAGTCAGCAAAAGCTACCCAAAAAAATAGAATTTGGGATTAGCGTATGAAGAATTGGACACGCCCACCATTAGGGTAATTAAATACAGAGTACAGTGCCAGTCTATGGCATCAAGACAGACAAAGGCCCTGGACAGACGTGAACAATTACTGGAGATAAAGATTTTGGAACCCTTGTGCAACGAGTACAGTTGCAATGAAGAGAGAGAAACAGAACACATGCATTCTGCATAGATACAAATTAGGGATGTCCCGATACCGGTACTAGCATCGGTAATCGGGACCGATTGAGGGCATTTTGACAAGTACTCGTCAAAATGCACCGATAACAAGCGCTATGTTTTGTTTTTTTACCGCGGCGCACCGTGTCACTGCTGCTCCGGTGGCCGGCGCTCCAGGCAGTCGCCGGCCACCTAAATTAGGACCCCACCGGAGCAGCAGTGGCGCGACGCTCCTCTCCAGCTCAGCACCGACAACGTCCTCACGTGCGAGGAAAATCGTGAAGCACTGCGATCAAGGCAACAGTGAGTAAGACGGGGCCTGGGCTTAGTTCTTGTTCACACCAAAAAAACAATCTACTGCTGCTGTGTATTCTATATGTACTGTACATGCGCTACATATAGAATACACTGCAATAGATTTACAATTCTCCCCTGCTAACATGAATAGGATAAAACAACATGTAGTTGTACTAGGGATCATTTAAAGTCACCTGTCCCTTTAAGGAAAAAAGTATCGGTAATCGGCATCCGCGAGTACATGGGGGGGTACTTGGTACTGAAAAAAGTGGTATTGGGACATCCCTAATAAAAATAGATAGGTAAATGGGGCCTAAGAAGTGCAGATACTGGATGCCAGGGGGTGGACAAATGAATATGGAACTCTGTGGCCAACATGTCTACTCCAGGCGGTACCTCCATTCACAGCAACAAGGGAAAGCTGTGGATTTAGGTGCCAGCTACAACCCTTGAGGCGAACTATGGGGTTAAGGCTTTTCCCCATAGTTCTCCTAAGGGTAACGGGGAGGATACAAACTAGCGTCCTCCTCCTGTCACCCTAGGCCAAGTATACCGCTAGCTGCAACTCATAGTATACTGACACCACAGCTGAAGTGGATCCCGACAATTATGTCTGGATCCGCCCAGCTGCGTGAGTGACAGCTGGCTCTGCCTATCTAGAGGCAGAGCAGTATAGACTACCTGGCACCTGGGCTTTGTCCAGCTCTGGATTATGCAGTGGATAAGCATTGTTTTAAGACCAAAGGACACCCCAACACAAGCTTTCCTAACTATGGAAAGACTACATATGGGATTTTGCATTTCAGAAAAAAGTGACATTTCAGGTCCGAAAGAAAATGGTAAAGTCACAAAAACCTTGAATATATAAATTTTTGAACAATTGGTACAAAAACTGAAAAAACCCGTCAGACCAAAATGTTGAACATTCCAACACTCTTAAAGCGAACCTTCCATGGTAAACAAAGTCTGCTTTTTGTTTGCAAGCCCCCTGCATTCTCTGCATGCCCCCCCCCCCCCAA